TGCTCTCGTGTTTTTGGCTTGGAGAGAAGTTGGGGGGGTGTGACGTTGGTCCCCAGGCCCCGGGTCACTGGCACTAGGCCCAAAGTCCCCAAACTGGCTCCTGGTGACAGTGTCTCTGTCCCTTCCCCATGGTCGGGAGGGTGACGGGGCTCAGCCGTGTCCCATGGGCTGTGTCACTTGGGGTGCAGAGCACTGGGGGAGCCCCCAGCACCCAGCAGCTTGGGCTCCCCAAAACCCCAGGATTTTGGGGCAGGAAGGGCCTCAAGAGGGAGCTCAAAGCTTTCGAGCTGCCGACCTGGAGCTTGCAGGGAGCAGCCAGGCAGAGCCTGGCCTGGGCACCCCCCGACCCGGGAGCTCCGGGCAGCCCCGGCGCCCAAAGAGGGGGTTCAGCTGGGCCGACTGGTAGTGGCTCTTGGCCAGGCCGAGCCCCCGGGTGGCCCGAGGTGAAGATGGGGGGACAGGGCAGGGAGGTCCCACACCCCAGGCGGGTGAAGGGCCACCCCGTGTGTCCCCAAAGCCCAGCCCGGGGCAGGATGGCGCGTCTGGACACGTCGTCTCAGACTCTCCGGCTGCCAGGACGCTGCTCCACCACTGCTCCTGCACTTCTGCTCTCCCTCCTACCTCCTCTTCAGGATCAATTAAGATTATGAGCAGGGCTAATTAACAGTCTGCTAATTACACTCTGAAGCCCTCTATAAACCAGGAGCTTTAAAAGCAGCCCTGAGGAAGATGTCATGCCCTTTCTGCCCGCGCAGCCTGCACCAAAAGCCCCCTCCAGAGTGTCTCCATCTCTCCAGTCCCTCTCCTCAAAGCCCCCCCAGGGTTGGGACCGGACCCCCCGGCGTGGCAGGGACGGAAGGCCACATCCCCGCTGTGGGGCTGGCGTGGGAGCTGATTTCCAGCGAGTCTGTGATAACCCCCATCCCACCTGCTGCCCCGGGCGGCTCCGCTCACGTAACGGGAGCTTGGGAATTGCATCAGTTCCCCCCTCGCTGCTGTAAACACGGGTGTTCCCTGCGGGAACCCTGCGCCGAGCAGCTCCCGGGCAGCCCTCTGCCTCCCCACCACAGCCGGAGGGCCGGGACCCCCGGCACGGCCCCCCTGCCCCACGGCACACAGCACCCACCTCGGGGGCCTGAGGGGGGGCTGGAGCAGAGCGTGGTGGTCGCGGGCATCCCTGCAGCATCACCGCGGCTTTGCCCCCCCGCCGAGGCAGAGGTCACCCAAGGACAGGGTGTGAGTTGGGCTGCGCCTTCTCCAGGGCCAGATTTGGAGCTGGACACAGAACCAGGGCACATCAGCGTCCCCTGAGCTGGGGTTCTGCTCCCCCCCGGGTGGGGAGGGGAAGCACCTTCCCAGCACGGCTGCTCTGCACCCTCCAGCCAAAACGCTGACACCCAGCTATTCCCCACCGCCAGACCCCACCGTCCGTGGGTCTGTCACCGTGTGACGGAGCAGCAGCCCCCTCCCCTCGCTTTGCAAAATCCCCCCCCGGGATTCATCATCCCGGGATCCACAACCACGCACATCCTCCAGTCCCCACTCGAGACACCCCCACCACCCTCCCCGGCACCGAGCGGGTTTCCGCCACCTTCCCCAGGCTGCGAGTGGGGACGGTGCCAAGAAATCACAGCGCTGGCTTGTCCCAGGTGTCACCCAGGCCCGTCCCCACGCTCCGCGCCGAGTGGGGGGACACAGAGGCGTTGGGGTTGCTTTTACTGAAGCAGGTTGGTGGCAGCGCGCGAGCTGCCTGCGGAGGTTTCTCTCGGCGTCCCCCAGCGCTTCCCCGCAGCCTCCCTCGAGTTATGTCACCGCGGCCCAGCGGCCCCCGCCAAAGGCTCCAGGGCCCCTCGCTGCAGCGTGGGGGGGACGGGGACAGGCCAGAGGCAGGAGGACGGAGCAGCCCCCCCCTCCCTGCCCCAGGGCAGGTCACTTCGTTTATAAAATGCAAAGATAAAAACGAGAGGGATGTGCTGGGGTGTTTCCTTTCAGAGCTGCAAAGCAGCGGCGGCCCTTCGAGCTGATGAGGGTTTGGGTTTTTTTCGCTGTGGTTTTCACTGTCCTCCATGACCCTGGGGACCGGGGGACCAGCACCCCCCAGCCCTGTGGCTGAGGGGACCAGCAGTGCTGGGGGGGGGTTCCCCTAAAACCAAGTTGAGGGGGCCAAAGGCAAAGGCCAAACCCAGAGTCTGGCCCTAAACCTGTGCCCAGGGCCCCCCCATCTCAGCCCGAGCCCGAGCCCCCCGGCGAGGGCACCGCATCCCCCAGGACCCCCCAAACTTCACCCCCATCCCAGCCCCCGAATTCCCACGAACTCACCCACGTCCTCCCCTGCCGGATCCCCTATTCCAGCCCCCCCAGCCCCCCCCC